AGGAGGCGGAGGTGGTGAGAGGTAAGGAAGAAATCAAAATAAGCAGGAAAAAAAGCAACACTAGCAGCCAACAAATGGCACTCAGAGAGCCAGGTAGTGCAGGCTGGTGTTTCTCGGACAAGAGACTGTGTCCATGGGAAGCAGAGGGGCCGAGTGTGGGTGAAGAAGGGTAGGGAGTGGGAGAGCATATATCACAAATTACCAGAGCTCTCCAGCCCTTCAGGAAGAAGCAAAGATGGCGCTCGGAGCCAGGTATTTGAGCGAAAGGAGGGGAAGTGGTGAGAGGTAAGGAAGAAATCAAAAGAAGCAGAAAAAAGCAACACCAGCAGCCAACAGATGGCACTCAGAGAGCCGGCCCATTCGGGTGTGTGGAATCCAAGCAGCTGGTGTTTCCCAGTCAAGAGATTGTGGCCACAGGAAGCAGAGGAGGCCAAGTGAGGGTGAAGAAGGGTGGGGGGTAGGAAAGCGTATATCACAAATTACCTGTTGTTTTGTCTCCCGCTGGACGCTCCGTGAGGCTGCTTTCTCGAACCCCGTTTGCTGGTCTCCAGTAGGAGTCCAAGATGGCGGATCCGCGCTGCATTAGCTGGTAGGGGACTTCTGCATGAGTCTCTCCTCACTCTCCGTTCTCTGTCAGTTTTCTTACTCCTTTTGGTACTTGGCTGAGTTCTTTATCTCTTCATTTGATGTTTTAGGGTTTCAGAATTGTTGTATTCTCTGTTCGGCTTAGTTTTTCGGATCTTTGCTGTGGAGGGACGGCATGGTGCTTCTGGCCCAGAGAGCCATTTTGCCAGAACTCCTGCCTATTTTTTTATTTGGATTATTTGTCTTTTTGTTGTTGAGGTGTGGCTGTATCTTAATTGATTTTAGAAATTAGAACCTTGTTGGATATGTCATAGCCAAAATTTTTTTCCCAGTCTGTAGGTTCTCTTTTTACTCTTTTGGTGAAGAAGTTTTTTGATGAGCATAAGTGTTTAATTTTTAGGAGCTCCTAGTTATCTGGCTTATCTTCTGGTGTTTGTGCGTTGTTAGTTATAGTTTGTGTTCTATTTATGCCATGTTTTAGGGCCCCTAGTGTTATCCCTATTTTTCTTCCATGAATCTTTATCATTTTAGGTTTTATTTTTAGGTCTTTGATCCATTTTGAGTTAGTTTTTGTGTATGGTGGGAGGTATGTGTCCTGTTTCATTTTTTACAGATGGACATCCAGTTTTGCCAACACCGTTTGTTAAAAAGGCTCTCTTTTCCCCATTTAATGGACTTTGGTCCTTTGTCAAAGATCAGTTGACCATAGGTGGATGGATTTACATCTGGGTTCTCACTTGTTTCATTGGTATATGTGTTGTTCTGTCAGTACCAGGCTGTTTTGACTTCTATGGCTGTATAGTAGGTTCTGACATCAGGTAGTGTGAGGCCTCCTGCTTTGTTCTTTTTCTTTCAATAATGTTTTGCTTATCTGGGGCCTCTTTCCTTTTCGTATAAAGTTGGCAATTAGCTTTTCCATCTCATTAAAGAATGCTGCTGGTATTTGGATAAGGATTGCATTATATCTGTAGATCACTTTTTGCCACAGGGTTTTCTTGACTGTAACTTCTACGGAAGCAAATCACCCGGTCTTTCTCCTACAGAGCCGCTACATGAGTTTGAACCACCGACCTTTCAGTTAGCAGCCAAGCACTTAACCACTCATGCCACCAGGGCTCCTTATCCTTGAGGGGACATCAGACAAACCCAAGTTGGGGAACAAAACAGCTGGAGACTCAAGAAACATGAAGGAGCCCTTGTGGTGCAGTGGTTAAGAGTTCAGCTGCTAACCCACCAGCCGCTACAAAGGAGAAAGGTGTAGCAGTCTGCTTCCATAAAGATTACACCCTTGGTGCCACCTTAAAAAGCTAGAAATAAAAATAGCATACAATCTAGCAATCCCACTCCTAAGAACATATGCTAGAGAAATAAGAGCCATCACACCAATAGACATATGCACATCCATGTTCATTGTAGCATTATTCACAATAGCAAAAAGATGGAAACAACGTAAGTGCCTATCAATAGATGAATGGTAAACAAATTCTATCAACAGATGAATGGATAAATTATGGTACATACACACAATGAAATACTACAATGATGAATCCACGAAACATCTCACAACATGGAAGAAACTGGAGGGCATTATGCTGAGTGAAATAAGTCAGTCACAAAAGGACAAATATTGTACCACTATTTTTAAAACCCAAGAAAAAGTTTATACACAGAAAAAAACAATCTTTGATGGTTATGAGGGAGGGGAGAGGCAGAGAGGGAAAATTACTACTAGATAGTAGACAAGCGTTAACTTTGGTGAAGGGAAAGACAACACACAATATGGGGAAGTCAGTACAGCTTGACCAAGGCAAAGTCATAGAAGTTTCCTAGACACATCCAAACACCTTGAGGGACTGAGTTACTGGGGCAGAGGGCTGGGGACCATGGTCTCAGGGGACATCCAGGTCAATTGGCATAACATAGTTCTTAAAGAAAATGTTCTACATCCTACTTTGGTGAGTAGCGTCTGGGGTCTTAAAAGCTTGCAAGCGGCCATCTAAGATATATCTATTGATCCCAGCACATTCAGAGCAAAGGAGAAGGAAGACAACCAAAGACACAGGAAAATACTAGTCCAAAGGAGTAATGGACCACACGAACCATAACCTCCACCAGCTTGAGCCCAGAAGAACTAGATGGTGCCCCACTGCCACCATCAGCCACTGACAGGAATCACAATAGAGGGTCTCAGACAGAGGGGGAGAAAAATGTGGAACAAAATTCAAATTCACACACACAAAAAGAAAAGACCAGACTTACTGATCTGACAGAATCTCTGGAAGAATGTCTGAGAGTATGGCCCCTGGACACTCTGCTAACTCAGAACTGAAGCCACTCCCAAAGTCCACCATTCAGCCAAAGACTAGACAGGCGTATAAAACAAACAATAACATGTGAGGAATGTGCTTCGTAGTTCAATCAAGTATACGGACCAAATTGGGCAACTCCTGCCCGAAAGCAAAGATGAGAAGGCAGGAAGGGACAGGAAAACTGGATAAGTAGACGCTGAAAACCCAGCGTAGAAAGGGAAAGTGAGAGAGTGCTGACACATTGCAGGGACTGCAACAGATATCACAAAATGATTTGTGTATAAAATTTTTGAGTGAAAAACTAATTTGTGCTGTAAACTTTCACCTAAAACACACACATACACAAAAAAAGGTCACAGCCTTGGAAACCCTGTGGGGCAGTTCTACTGTGTCCTCTAGTTGCTGTGAGGTTTTAAAGAAACATGACAACTGAATGCAATGTGTGGTATTGGATTTTCTTTTGCTATAAAGGATATTATTGGGACAGTATCTCAGTAGGGTTTTTGTAGATGAAACAGTAGTATTGTTTCAGCATTAATTTTCTGCGTTTGATCATCGTACTGTGATGATGTAAGAGCGTTCCCTTGTTTTTTGGGAATACACACTGAAGTATTTAGGAGGAAGAAAGGAATGAAGGGAGGGAGGGAGGGAGGAATGGAGGAGAAAAAAGGAGAGAAGGCGAGATTTCCTGAAAAGGGGCACTGTTATCACACAACTTGAACCACAGGCTTCCAGTTGAAGGGAGGTGGGCCACTTCCCATCAAGCTTCCTCAGCTCCGAGAAGGGTCGTGGGTCAGCTGCCTTGACTCTCACGACCTTTCCTCAGGCTGTCCCCCTTGCTATAATGCCTTTTCCTGTCCTCTCCACCTGTCGGGAGAAAGGCCCACCTGAAATGCTTAGAGGAAAGAGAAGTGGATGGAAGTTGGGAGCCCAGGCTTCTCCTTCTGGCACAGCCACTAACCAGAGAGTCCAGGGGGGAGAAGCCATGTGATCTTTCCAAACCTCAGTTTTCTCATCTACCCAATGGGAGATTGAATGGGATGTTCTCTGAGGCTTTTCTAGCTGCTTCCTGTGAACCCCTTCCTTAACCTCAGCAATGAGCTTGTGGCCTCTGAGAGATTGATATTTGGAAGCTCCTTCTTGGTGGGGGAGGTACCATGTATAGATCTTGTGTTCAGACTGTCAGGGTATTGCGTCGATCTCCACTGACACTGAGTTTTCAGTAAACTCACAGGTATGCCATTTGCCAACAGTGTTGTTTGATGGTTCATTCGTTCATCCTTTCCTGCAGCACATGTATGGGACACCTACCATGTCCCGGGCCTGTGCTAGGCACTGGGTAGGGGTTGGGGGCGTCAGTGAGGAGGCCTAGCCCCTGCCATTGAGGAGTATGGGTGCACGGACGGCCCCTGGCAGGACAATTCCTCATAAAGTCACTTTTCCTTGTGAGTAGAAAGTAGTAGGTAAAAGAGCTCGAGGCCCCCGGTTAGTTATATGAAGTTGTATCAGTTTCCTCACCTGTTAAATGAAGATAGCAATCTCGCACTCTTGCCTACCCTGCCCACCTCACAGAGCTGTGGTCTTCAAACAGGAAAATTCTATAATGTGCTTTATAAATATGAGGTAGTAGTGTTGGTAGGCGTCCCTGGGTGGTACAAATGGTTAATGTGCTCAGCTGCTAACTGAAAGGTTAGAGGTTCGAGTCCACCCAGAGGCACCTTGGTAGAAAGGCTTGGCAATCTACTTCCAAAAAACCCAACCACTGAAAACTCTAAGGAACACAGTTCTACTCTGACACACATGGGATCATCATGAATCTGAGTCTACTCAATGGCAACTGGTTGGTGTTTTTGTTAATCACTCATCATGCATACATGGAAGTGCTTTGAAAACAAAGAGAGAACAACAGTGTTGTCTCTGCCCTGTGCGGATCTTAAAAGAAAGAGTGCTGTGGGAACATAATAGTAAAGAACAGGAGCATCAGGCTGTGGCCACAGAAAGCATGTGGGGTTGCCTCCGTATAATATAACGGTGTCTGCTATGCCAGCAGGTGGCTCAGAACCTGGACCTTGGCAACAGGACTGATTGTCGTCATTGTCCTTCCAGTACACCAGGTGGCAGAGCGGGTGGAGGCCCTGGGGCAGTTTGTCATGAAGACCAGAAGAACCCTCAAAGGCCACGGGAACAAAGTCCTGTGCATGGACTGGTGCAAAGATAAGAGGAGGATCGTGAGCTCATCCCAGGTAGGCCACACCTGTCATGAAATGGAAAGCAGGTTTCTGATGTTATAGCTAAGGGGAAAGAGTCCTTTTCAAAAAGTCCTTTTCTGATCTTCATGACCTTGCTTGTTCTCCAAAGCACATGATTTAGTTAAAGAATTCTCTTGCATACTGTAGAACTTCACTAATTTGGGTAGATTTGGAATTGGTAATAGTTGAAACATGGTAGGCTGTGTGCGACTTCTTTAATGAACCTTCAAATTAATTTCTTCCTAAGCCTATTTTCAGGGTCTTATTTGTGAGTGAAACCATTTTGAAAATAAGTAGTACTTTTGTTAAGGACGTAAGTGATTGAGATTCCATCAGTGGCTTTTAATTTAAGAGTTTAATGATTCTTATATCTTAAAGAACAACGAATTTAAGATACGTTTCCTGTGAAGTATAATTTTTTATTCATCTTATATAGTTTACATAATTTATTTTACATCTTACGTATTAGTCCCACCACTTGTCTGTCAGTTTGTCATATTATGATGGCACGCCTGTTGCCGTGATACTGGAAGCTATGCCACTACTGTTTCAAATACAAGCAGTTTCATCCAAGGTAGACAGGTTTCAGCAGCGCTTCCAGACTAAGATAGACTAAGAAGAAGGACCTGGTGGTCTACTTCTGAAAAAATTGGCCAGTGAAAACCTTATGGATAGCAGTGGAACGTTACCTGATATAGTGCCAGAAGATGAGCCCCTCAGGTTGGAAGGCACTCAAAATATGACTGGGAAAGAGCTGCCTCCTCAAAGTAGAGTTGACCTTAATGATGTGGTTGGAGTAAAGCTTTCAGGACCTTCATTTGATGATGTGGCATGACTCAAAATGAAAAGAAACAGCTGCAAACATCCATTAATAACTGGAGCAAGGAATCTGTGAACTATTAATCTAGGAAAATTGGAAATCATCAAAAATGAAATGGAACACATAAAGATCAAAGAATGGGAATTCTAGAACACTTAATTGTGCTCATGTGGAACCTGTACGTAGACCAAGAGGCAGTCGTTCGAACAGAACAACGGGATACTGTGTGGTTTAAAGTCAGGAAAGATGTGCGTCAGGGTTGTCTCCTTTCACCTTACCTATTCAGTCTGTATGCTGAGCAAATAATCTGAGAAGCTGGACTGTATGAAGAAGATCGTGACATTAGGATTGGAGGAAGACTCATTAACAACCTGCAATATGCAGATGACACAGCTTTGCTTGCTGAAAGTGAAGAGGACTTGAAGCACTTACTGTTGAAGATCGGTATGGATTACACCTCAGCATAAGGAAAACAAATTGTCACAACTGGTCCAATAAGCAACATCATGATAAACAGAGAAGAGATTGACATCAACGATTTCATTTTACTTGGATCCCAAATCAATGCCCATGGAAGCAGCAGTCAAGAGATCAGACGATGTATTCGATGTATTGCATTGGGCAAATCTGCTGCAAAAGACCTCTTCAAAGTGTTAAAAAGCAAAGATGTCACTTTGAGGACTAAGATGCGCCTGATTCAAGCCATGGTCTTTTCATTCGCCTCATATGCATGCGAAAGCTGGCAATGAATAAAGGAGACAGAAGAATAATTGACACCTTTGAATTGTGGTGTTGGTGAAGAATATTGAATATACCATGGACTGCCAGAAGAATGAACAAATCTGTCTTGGAAGAACTACAGCCAGAATGCTCCTTAGAAGCGAGGATGGCAAGACTTTTTCTCACGTACTTTGGACATGTTATCAGAAGGGACCAATCTCTGGACAAGAACATCATGCTTGGTAAAGTAGAGGGTCGGCAAAAAAGAGGAAGACCCTCAACGAGATGGATTGACACAGTGGCTGCAACAATGGGCTCAAACATAACGAGTGTGAGGATGATGCAGGACCAGACAGTGTTTTGTTCTGTTGTACGTAGTCAGAACTGACTTGACGGAACCTAACAAAAAAATATATTAGTTATCTGTTGCTGTGTAACAAATTACCCTAAAACTTGGCTTAAATTAACAAACGTTTAATATCTCACTATTTTTGTGGGCCAGGATTCCAGGAGTGACCCAGCTGGGTGGTTCTGGCTCAGGGTCTCTCATGACGTTGCAGTCAAGATGTTGATCAGGGCTGCAGTCACTGAAGGCTTAACTGGAACTGGAGGATCCACTTCCAAGATGGCGTGCTCACGTGGCTATTGGCTGGAGGCCTAAATTCCTTGCCGTGTGGGCCTTTCCATAGGGCTGCTCATGACATGGTAGCTGGCCTCCCCTGGGAAAGTGATCCAAGAGAAGGTGGCAGAAGCACACAGGCTTTTATGAACTAATCTTGGAAGTGACATTCCATCATTTCTGCCATATTCTGTCAGTCACACAGACTAACCCAGATATAACAAGGGAGGGGACTACACAAGAATGTATCACGAGGTGGGTGGAGCCAACATGGCACTATAGACAGAAGCACCACGCCGTCCTCCACAGCAAAGACCCAAAAAACTAACTAAAACAGAGACAAACGTCAGTCCTGGAACCCTAAGTGTCAAATGAAGAGATAAAGAACTAACCAAGCACCGAATGGAATAAGAAACTGACAGAGAACAGAGAGCGAGGAGAGTTGTATGTGGAGGTCCTCTATCAGCTATTGCAGCATGGATCTACCATTTTGGACTCCTGTTGGAGATCGGCAGACAGGGAGTATGGGAAAGCAGATTCACGGAGCTCCCAGCAGGAGACAGAGCACCCAGTAACCAGCAAGACACGCTTTCCCACCCCCTACCCTGCCTCCCCTTGCTTGACCTTCACCGCTTCCTGGCTGGCCGATTCCTGGCTTCCCAGAGGGCCTATTGCTACTTCCCAGTGGGCCGATCTGGGGCTTCCCGGCAGGTCAATTTGCTGCTTCCTAGCAGGCCGAGACTGCAGCATGGAAGGCGCCGGTTCTGTGCCATGCGAATTCGCCCCGCCCACACTGGCCAGCTTCTTCACTTCCAATTCTTTGTTGCTGGTGTTGCTTTTTTCGGCCTCTTGGTTTCTTCCCTGCCTCTCATCTCCTCCCCCTCCTTTCTCTTGAACACCTGACTCTGTGTGCCATCTTTGCTTCTTCTTGACAGGCTGTGAAGCGCCACTCACCTGGGGAACTGCCTCCCCAGTCTGCATGGCCGTGCTGGTGGGATCCCTGGGAGCTTTTTTTTTTTCCTTCTTCTTCTTTTTGGTTTGTTTTCTCTTTCTTTTTTCCTTTTTCTTTTTCTTCATTTCTTGGTTTCTCGTCTCTTTCTACTTCTTTTCCTGTCTCCTGAATACCAGGCGCCATGCATCATCTCCACCCCTTCTAGTCGAGCTGTGCTGTGCAGCTCATGAGCCGCTGCCCTGGTCTGCATAGCTGTGCCGGTGGGATCCCTCAGGGCATTTTTTTTCTAAATTTTTGTTTATTTGTTAAACTTTAATTTTTTTCCTTTTTGTTTTTCTTCATTTCTTAGTTTCTTGTCTCTCCACACCAACGGCAAGCTCCCTCAGCACTTTCTTCTTGCTCCTGTTTCTCTTCCCTCTCTCTCTTCTTTTCCACACCCAGCCTAGCTCTACACATCACAAACTCTGCTTCCCTCTCCCTCCTGCCTGTCTGCACCATGTGCTGAACATTGCAGTCCTGAGCAGCACAGGCTCGACCTGCTGGAAACTGCCCTGCACCGACACTGGCTCACTTTGTTGGCCCCAGTACATGCCACAAACAACCCAGCCCAGCCCCTCCCCTTCAGCTGGACCTGCCCTGCTGTACCAGAGCTGAGTTACTGGCCCTGCCCATTGGACAAGGAGGTGAAAAATATCATGTCCACAGATGAGCAAACAACAAAGAATGCACAGCCCGCCTGCTCAGACATAACCAAATATGTATATTTGTTTATCTACAATCAATAAGCAAAGAAAATAACTACTAATGTCCCAGAGTGTCATGGATTGAGTTTGTCCCCCAAAAATATCTGTCAGCTTGGCTAGGTCATGATTCCCCCTGGAGCTGACCCCCTGAATTTGGACTTGTAGCCTACTGGACTGTGAGAGAATAAACTTCTCTTTGTTAAAGCCATCCACTGGTGGTATTTCTGTTATAGCAGCACTAGATGAGTAAGACAGAATTTGGTTCCAGGAGTGGGGTGCTGCTCTAACAGATACCTAAAATGTGGAAGCAGTTTCAAAACTGTGAATGGTTAGAGGACCCAGAAGGAAGTGAGGAGAGCTTTTACGTTGGAGACAACACAGATGGCAAGAAGCAGCAGCAGAGAACTGGCAGCATCAGAGAACTAGAAACAGCAGAACCAAGAGACCAGCACCAGACAGCGCTGGAGCCGACCCACAGAACGAGAGAGCGGAGTGCCTGTGCGCAGGAGGCTTCCTGGCGGAGTAGGGTGCCTCCAGGCAGTTATCGGTGGAGCTACAAAGCTTTTGGAACACTTATCCCAGCAGGGCAGATGCGGACATGAGGTCCAAGACAAGAGGCCACAGGAAGCAGAAGCTGAAGAGACAAGGAACACAAGAAACTGAGCTGCCTCATTCTCAGAAGGTATGGCCAGGACCTCAGGGGTTTGAAAGGGTGGAGCCATGGCCTCTGGTGTTTCTAAGGGTGGAGTTGCCACTCAGATGGACTAGGGGAATAGTGCGCCTAAAGCTGAGGGAGCAGAGTTGCTGTCCCAGTGGGCCTGGAAGGCAGAGCTGAAGCCCGGGGCCGAGGGGCCTCCACTCAGAATCTGGAGAGTGTGGCCAATACGTAGAGTCTGGAGGGCAGGGCTATTGTGTAAATGGTCTCACAGAACAGAGGATTATTTTCAAGCCTTGAGGGCTAATGTAATGTGTTCTGCCAACTTGCTTGTTGCCTGTTTTGCCTTCTTTCTCTCCAGCTTCTCCCATTTGTAATGGAAATGTCTAGCTTGTACCTGTTCCACCATTGTACCTTTGGAAGCAGATAATTTGTATTCTAGATTTCACAGATGAAGAGGAATTTTTGGATTTTGAACTCGGAGT